CCATCAGTATAAAAGTTGAGATTAGAGGTATTTTAATTATAAGTAGCTATTGATTGAAGTGTCTGAGTAGCTTCACTGAGTGTGAAGAAGGTTGGTATTTGAGATTGTTCGATAATAAGTATAGGAAGTGAGTGTATAAGGTCCTGGTAGTTGGCATAGAAATTAATTGATTTGTCTATATTAAGTCTACCAAAAAACTTTGTTGCAAGATTTGTGTGAATAAAAATAGTGTATTTATTAGCTAATAAGTTAACAATTGGTGCAAGGTGAAAGAGATATGGGAGCAAGTGGATATAGTTGTGTTGAGTAGGTATTGCCAATGAGTAATGAGTATATGACCAGTTGTTGTATATTGGCATTAGTCTTTACCAACAACCAGTTGGTTGTTAATTAAAGAGATTAGCCAAGATTTAGTGTGTTGGTAAAAGTGGCCAGTACTATTGCTATAGTAGTTAGTAGATGGAAGGTTAAAGGTGAATGAATAGTTCTTTGGAGAAAGCTAGAAGTAAAAATGTTTTCTAGTATAGTAAACTATTTAGGTATTTTGACTTTTGGAATTTTGTTTAGTTTTGGTAAAATATATTGCTATTTGTGCAGACAAGATTGTTAGATGTAGTAAGCTAGTCGAGAAAAAGTAGATGATGGTGCCAAAGTTGTTTTTTAAAAGTAGAATATTGAGGGTGAGAAGCAAGAATTGATTCAAGTAAAGTTGAGCCTTCCTGGATTGTAAAAAGAATGGAGGTGTTATAGTTGGGGCTAATTGTTCAGTTAATATATTTGAAGAGCTGATGATTTTAAAATTAATAGTATTTTTATTAGAGCCTTCAATTATAGAATTGGGATAGAAGAAAATATTTATGAAAAACTATAGATTGTTCTGTAGTTGTTGGATAAGGATAAGTGTAGAAGTGCTAAAAAGATAAGTATTGTTGAGCCATTTGATAAAGTTGGAAATATGATGTTGCAATTGGATGTCTCAGATATTTTTGATATTGTAAATTTGTTGATCCAGTAGAGTACTAGTGGGTATAGTGTGGCTGAGTTTGGCTTTGTGCTTGACTAAACCAATATAATATGTGAAGATTTTATTACAGGCTGTTTGGCTAAGAACAATATTCCATAAATGATATTCAATAGTAGGTATAATAACTGTGTTAATAATATTGCAGGCTTATATATTTGTAATTTTTTTAGGACTAATTGTTTGGATGAGTTGAGAAGATTCATTTGTAATTTATTGCATTTATTTAGATTGTTTGTTGTCAAGTAAAACCAACACCAAGAAATTTGAATAGTTGTTGTAGTGAAAGTGTTGGTTATTAAAGATAATTGGATAGTGAGAATTTGAGGTTGAGTTAGTAATAAGGACTAATTTGTTTGGGTTTACTTGGATATTAGCCACGAAATAGAAAAATTTTACAATTAAAATTATTTTAGCTAGTTCCGTGTATGAGGATGCAATCCATAGGGTATCATTTATATAAGCAAGGACTAAGCATCTGATTTTAATTTGGTTGGTTGAAAAGTTTTTTAAACTGATAAACTATGAACTTTATATTTGATATCTAGATATAGTAAAATGTATATAGAAATAAGAGGGTCATAGTAAATATGCCAAAGTAATGGTGTGATTGTTTCTCCTTGGTCAATTTTATCTTGCATGAGATAAGAGGGTGTAAAGCCAAGGTTGGTAATAACTAGAAATGTGTGAAATGCATTATGCATTCAATGTTGCTTGCTACATAATACAGTATAATGCGATGCAGACTACCTAAAATTTCAAAATGTACATAGAAATTATTATATAATTTTGATTCAAAAATTATATAAACTAGACTTTTATAATGAATATATTACTCAAACAGGTGCCACTATTAAAAAAGTTAAATATGATATAAATTTGTCAACTGGATATTATTAATATTTGTCGAGAATATATGAAGAATTATAATAAACTAAATCAAAATAAAAATTTATGTTTATATTAATTTATATATTTTTTGTCTTTGACAAAATAATTAAAAATAAATAATGCTTTCATTTGAATAAAAATGGATCTTGTCAAAAGAATAGGAATTGAAATTTAGGTTAGTTTTTTAATAACGAATTTTTCGTCTTTGACAAGAAACAAAATATAATTAGAAATGAATAAATATCTTCGTTTGAACGAAAATGAATCTTGCAAAGAAAGGATCGAGATTTAATTTAATTTTAACTCTGAAAAATAGTTAGAAATAAATAATGCCTTTGTTTGAGCGAAAATAGATCTTGCCAAAGAATAGGAATTGAAGTTTTATACAATTTTTTAAAAATTAATTTTGTCAAAAAATAATTAGAAATAAATAAAGGCTTTGTTTGAACAAAAAGAATAGGATTTGAAATTTTACACAATTTTTTAAAAACAAAATTTTGTCAAAAAATAATTAGAAATGAATAAAAGCTTCGTTTGAATGAAAATAAAACTTGCCTGCCAAAAAATAGTAATTGAAATTTTACTTAATTTTTTAAAAACAAAAATTTCATTGTAAAATAATTAGAAATAAATAAAAGCTTCGCTTGAATGAAAATAGAACTTGTCAAAAATAGTAATTGAAATTTTACTTAATTTTTTAAAAACAAAATTTCGTCAAAAAATAATTAGAAATAAATAAATCTTCATTTGAATGAAAATAGAACTTGCCAAAGAATACTAATCGAAATTTTCTTAATTTTTAAAAACAAAAATTTCGTCGAAAATAATTAGAAATGAATAAAAGCTTCATTTGAATAAAAATAAAACTTGCCAAAGAATAGTAATTGAAATTTTACTTAATTTTTTAAAAACAAAATTTCATTGAAAAATAATTAGAAATGAATAAAAGCTTCGTTTGAATGAAAATAAAACTTGCCAAAGAATAGTAATTAAAATTTTACTTAATTTTTTAAAAATGATAATTTTGTCAAAAAATAATTAGAAATGAATTAAAGCTTTGTTTAAATGAAAATAAAAACTTGCCAAAGAATAGTAATTGAAATTTTACTTAATTTTTTAAAAACAAAATTTTGTTGAAAAATAATTAGAAATGAAAAAAAGCTTCATTTGAATGAAAATAAAACTTGCCAAAGAATAGTAATTGAAATTTTACTTAATTTTTTAAAAATAATAATTTTGTCAAAAAATAATTAGAAATGAATTAAAGCTTTGTTTGAATGAAAATAAAAACTTGCCAAAGAATAGTAATTGAAATTTTACTTAATTTTTTAAAAACAAAATTTTGTCGAAAAATAATTAGAAATGAATAAAAGCTTCATTTGAATGAAAATAGAACTTGCCAAAGAATAGTAACTGAAATTTTACTTAGTTTTTTAAAAACAAAATTTTGTCAAAAAATAATTAGAAATGAATAAAAGCTTCGTTTGAATAAAAATAGAACTTGTTAAAGAATAGTAATTAAAATTTAACTTAATTTTTTAAAAACAAAATTTCGTTGAAAATTAATCAGAAATAAATAAAGGATTCGTTTGAATGAAAATGGAACTTGCCAAAGAATAGTAATTGAAATTTTACACAATTTTTTAAACCGAATTTTCATTGAGCGAAAATGTATTTTTCCAAAGAAAAGGAATTGAAATTTTATATAATTTTTTAAATGAGTTTTCGCCGAGAAATAAATAAAGGCTTCATTTGAGCGAAAATGGTTCATGTCTTACTATTGTATTGTAATATATATTAGTCGCCTGATCTTATTAAGTTACGTGATATTATCTGTTACTGAATCTTATTATTCCCGAAATCAAAGACAATATCTCTATGTTACTTATAATATTATACAGTACTTATAATGTCGACACATTCAATGTTATTAAACTTTTCTTTAATTCTTGTCAAATATGTTTGGTATGTTTAGTTTAGGGAAAACCCTATTAATACTAACCAATAAATCTTGATAAGAAACCTAAAGAAGGCTCGAATATAAAATAAACCTTTAAACATATCTAATATTACACAAATGGATATTAACGGAGGTGGTTTCAAGAACAGTGAATCCAGTGATCATTACCTCGCATGATAAATCTTCCAGCCTAAGTTAAAGTTAGTATTAGGATTTATATTAGGGTTAGGTGACAGTTAGTTTAGGCTGATTTTGTTAGTACTAGTAAACAAATGACTTGATTGCATGAATTCACGTAATATAATAATCACTGGGTTCATCTTTCTTGAAGTGTTCCAGTTTTTTATTGCGTTGCAGAAATTATGAAATAGCTTTTTTTAAAAAAGTCTTAATTAGTTTAGATAAATGCAACAATTTTAGTATACATACTTATAAAATCAAGTTAGCAAGTAAATTTATCAATTATTAATAATTAGAACTTGAAATATAATCTATTTGTTATCTGTTCCTGGTTTTAGCGCAACTACATTGCACAGCTACTTTATTGTTAATGCAGTGGTATTTGTAAGCCTTTGGTCAGTAGAACTATACTCCTTTCATCATCGCTTGCATTGTGTAAAGGCTGGCTCTACTGTTTCTTTTATTCCTACCTTTCTTGTAGTAATTGAACAATAATGGGTTTTACTATTGCAGGGATTATATATAAAAGTATTTAGACTAAGCTTTATGGCTGCATTAACAGTGCAAAGACCCAGAGCTGCACTAGCAGTACAGGAATATGAGTAAGTATTTAGACTCCGTGCCAGCCTGGATAAGTTACTTTTATATTTGATTTTTTTTAGCTATGTGTTTTTTGTTAACAACAGTTCTTTTACATAAGGAAATATTAGATTGATTTGATTAGTATATATATATGGTTTCTTAGAAGTTGTAGATTGGAATATAATACAATTAGTTAGTTTGGAATAGAAATATATTTAATAGGTTAGATATAGAGCAATGTAATAGATAAATGATAGAATTCTAATATATTTTTTCTTGAGTAAATAAAGAACTACTGTATATAAAAAATATACATTAAAAGAAATAATTTAAATTTTATAAAACTAATTATATACATATATAAATCTATTCAGAATCTGATGTATCTGAAAAATTTTCAGTATCAGAGCTAGAAATTTTTTCATCATCACTTTCCTGAGAGTTATACTCATTATCTGACAAATTATCTGTATTATCCAAATCAAAATCACTATCTTCCCAAATACCAATTTCAATTTCATTAGTTTTATCAAATTCATATGATTCTAAACGAGTACGGCATACAATTGTGTCAGCAGATTCTTGATATAGCGAATTAAGATGATAGTTGCAATATATATATATTAGTTTTGTTAATCAGTCTGGTGTTAATCGATTTCTTTTTTTATTTTGAATATGCGCAAATGCTGACCAATTGCGCTCAGATGTAGCTGAAGAACTTGGAATTGATAAAATTCGAATTGCCATTTTTGCAAGATGTGGAGTAGTTAATAAAAAATTTGCCTCCTACCATGCAGTTGGCTCTACTTGATAAACTGTTTTCCATATTAATTCTTGACTAAATACACCACATTTTGTTTTATATTCAATAATACTACTCCATATTTTAGTTGCATTTTGAGGATAATATTCTTGTACAAATTTGAAGATTATAGAATTGGAATTTTTTGAAAGATTTTTTCCATAATATCGAGGATCTAATAAATATGCTACAAGCATAACTGGATTATATATTTTTTTTCATCGTTTTTTTAAAATACTTTTAACTGAATTACTTATAGTATCATCATCATCATTTTGAATATAATCTAAAAAAAATTATTAATATATTGAAATTATATTTTTTTATATAACTTACTAAAATAAATATTTATATAATAGTTTAAATTTAAATATTACCTGTCATATCAATTTGTTTTTTATACCATCCATAAAACATTGATAATCTTGCTATATCACTTTCAAAGATCGAAATTCCTACAACTAGTTGATCTAAAATAAATAAAAGATTTTTAACTGAATTCCAATAGTCAATACTATTAATAATATTTGCAATTTTTTTAGAAAAAAATGAATTAGTAGTTCTTGATAGTTCGGTTTTTGTAAGTTCTAATGCTAATTGATTTTTTAATATAGAATTTAAACAAGCTGCTGAAGAACCCCAACGTGTTTTGGCTAGATATTTAAGTGTATAGTATCTAGAATAACTAGATTTTTGATATCGTTTAAAAATATCACCTGGAATTTGATGTTTTTTAAAATAATAAACTAATTCTTTAGAATTTTTTAATTTACTAGCAGCCCATTTTAACTTTAAAATAACACCAATTAATAAGTTAATATTATGAGCTATACAACCTAAAAGCAAAATTTGTGGGTTGTCTTTTTTTAAAATATACCAAGCCTTTTTTATTACTGATGCATTATCAGTAATTATACATGATATCTTATGAATACCATCTTGATCAATAACTTTTTGAAGATCTGCTACTATTGCTTCTCCTGTTTGATGAATTTCTCCAGTTGGATTTGCCATAAAGAAAATTGGTTTTGGTGTAGCTAATATATAATTTGTCCAATGCTCTTGAACTAAATCTGACCTAATATAAAAATTAAATATAAATACTTTTAAAATAAATATTGAAATTCTAATTAGAAATAGATTTTATACATGTATATAATTTTTTAATTATATATATTAAAATACATTTATATATATAATTTAAAATTATATACATTTTATTCTATCTAAATTTTATTTAGATAAATTAAAGTATATATAATTTAGACCAGAATTTATAATGCTATATAGAATTAAATAATTGTTTGATAATTAAGCTATATTATCTAAGTTATTAACTAATTATTATTATTTATTAGCAATTGTATACAAAGTATACAATAACTGTATAGTACATACCAACCATCGAAAATTAAACATAAATTATTACAACTTGAAATATGAAGTTGCACTTCCTTTTTAGTTTCATTATAAACTTTATCTAGTAATGTAGTTGATAAATATCTTCGTGATGGTAATTTAAAAGCTGGTCTTGCTTGTTTCCATAAATCGATAATTGGTTGTAATTCACTTAATGACAAAACAAGACTATATTGATAAATTGAGCTAGCAAACTTTAATTCTAATGCTTTTTGTTCTTGTGCCATAATACAATCTACTACTGCAAAATTTATTACTGATTGTCTAGAAGTTCGTGAACTTGTAGTTGATAATATTGGTTCTATATTAGAATCCGACTTTTTATTTGTAGTTTTATAAACTTTTTCTAACTCAGCATATTCTTTATGCTTATTATTTGAAACTAATTGACATATTTTAAAATGCTTTTTTGCAGGCTTTGTAGCTTCATTAAATTCATAATTACATTCAAAACATTTAGCTCGAGGTTGTTGAAATCCAGTAACATGTTCAAGTTTTTCAAAATAATTCCAAATAGGATGTGTGGTCCCATATTTTGTAAAATCACAACTAAAATTTTTAAATAATTTATACGCACATATATATATTAATTATTATTTAAATTTTATTGGATATTAACTAAATAATAAATACTACGTATAAGCCATATCTATAAATATTATATACTAAACTAATAAATAAATTATAAGCCATACTAATAAATAAAAATTTTAAGCCATACTGATAAATAAATATTATACGTAGGTCACACTTATAAATATGTATTATAAGTTCTTTTAATAAATATTACAAAGCCATACTATATAATAAATAGTTATCAAATGCGTAGCATATTTTATTTGGTAAAAGAAATAGGAATACTGTATTCCGAAGACAACAAGTAAAAGAAGTATTTGGCTTTGAATTTAATAGACTAAACTGGGCCACAAAGGGCTTAGGTTTGTTAAGCACATTTAAATTCAAAGCCAACTAACTCAACCAAACATTGTGATTATTAGAATAGCGAGCGAGTTATATAAGAAACTAGCAATGTGTTGTATGGGCGACTTCGTCGCCCAGTTGTAGCTTTGAATGAATAGAAGATTTAGTATATAGCATATTTAGTACAAATGTACATTAAGAAAGTTGTGATTAATAAGGTAATATTAA